GTTTGCCAATTAGCTTTCAATGTACCTCACGGTCTCTGCTCCAAATATTCACTGATCATGGTGAAAACCAACCTAAACCCAGAAGCTCGCAGAGCCAGAACTGAAGCTAAGACAAGACCTCCAAAATTCACAGAAATGCCTGAAATTCTTTTCTGAACAAAAGCTGAACCAAAACCTCAGGGCTGGAGGTCCAACAGCAGCTGGAAGCAGGAGTGCCCGGGGTCCATTCCCACTGCAGCAGAGCTCCAGAGAGCACCGGTGTGCGGGGACACGCGCTCAGTACCGCGATGGTAAAAGACTCATTTCACACTGGGTAAGGGAAGGAGCACACCATGGCATTGCCTGGCACTGATGCCCTGGGAATACCAGCTTCCACATCCTTCCACTACCTCTTCCATCCTGTGGAGCACCCATTTACCAGTTACTCTAAACGAATGCAGACCCCCTGAAATTTAAACTGTGGGTGTAATCCTTCTGATTAAAGGAGGCTTCTTGTCTTTGGGAAGAGCCCGAGAGGCTGAAGTCTCAGTAAGAAGCACCCCATGGGCACATTTCCCTTCAGCTCCCTCACGTGCCACTGACCCTGAACTCGCTGCACAGCACCTTCTTACCCACATCTATCAGTTTACAACAGTGACCAGCTACAGATTTCCTAACTTTGATTGGTTTCTATTTCAGAAGGGAAGCACAGACACGTAAAGATGCAAAACCGCAGCACGAGAGGGCATGCAAATTCAAGCCGTGCCACGTCACTGCAACTACAAACACTTCTGGGTGGCAGTGGTGGGGGGTGCACAGGGAATGCCTGCCTGCATACAGATCATTTCTCCAGAAATAACTAGTCTTCCAGCTAACTTTTTTTTATTTCTATTACAATAGCAGGAATAATAGCTGAAAAGACTTACCTATTTGGACCTGCTGTTCTTTACCAGCCTGCAGAAGAGAAAAGAAACACATGCACAAAGTTGTTAGTGCAATTACTATGCAATGGGGGATGGCAGAAGGCTGAAAAATCACTTAGTCTGTGCTGCACTATTTTATATCTTTCTGCATTTGGTTTCCAGGGATAGCAGTTCTTCCTTAACCGAATAAACAGCTGTTCCCACCAATGTCCTAATGGAGCCCGTAGCAAGTTTAACATAAATAGAGCTGCTAAGCAATCCTGGTGCTGAATGTCCCATTCTATACATGGTGACACTGCGCCAAAAAGTAAGTTCGGTGGCCAAAGCGGGGATATAACAGCAGGAAAGCGATGAGCTCCAAGAAGCACGGGTGCTGGGGAAGAGAGGAAGCAGTGAGCTGACAGCTCTTTGTATCTAGGCTAGAGAATGGGAAAGCCAACTGGACCCCAGTGACCGCAGGGACGGTGGCAGCGATCCGGTATCACCGTCAGCTCGCCGCCGGCTCGGTACTTGCTCTTGCCAGGGTTAGGGGACCTAGGGGCACAGGATCCCGAGGGAAGGGACCCAGCCCGGGCTGGGGGATGCCGTGTCCGGTTCCAGGCTGCTTGGACGCAGCGGCGTGCGGCACAGCAGAGGGCGGAGAGCCGCCCGTCCATCTCAGCCTCCCCTCGCCCGCAGACCCCGGGGCAGCGTGGGGACGAGGGAGGACGCCGTGGGAGGAAGGGAAGGAAGGGCAGGGGAGGGCAGGGGAGGACAGGGGACCCGCGCTCCCTCCTCCCCTCACTCACCTGCCGGCCGGGCGCAGCGCGGGCCCCCAGGAGCGCGGCTGCCACTAGCCAGAGGGGCAGGAGCACCATCCCGAGCCGGCCGCCCGCGCCCCGGCCCCGGCCGCGCTCCGCCCGCTGCCTCCTGCTGCCGCTGCCTTCCCTGCCTCCGGCGGCGGCTGCGGGGCCGGGGCCGGCTGGGCGGGCGGAGAGGCGGCGGGTCCCCCGCGCCGCCTGTTGCTGCGCGCCCGCCGCGACCCGCGGCGCTGATAAACCCGCGGCGGCCCCGCCTCCGGCCCGGCCGCCGCTCCACGTCAGGCTCGGCCCGGCCCGCCGGGGAACCGCGGGGGAACGCGCCCGGCTCCGCTCGCACTCACGCCGAGGAACGCATCCCGGCGCTGCATCCTCGGCGTTCCCCGCCCTCGCGCCTGAAATCCACCGGGAAACAACTTTCCTGTCCGTCCGTCCGTCCGTCCGTCCGTCCCACCACAAACAAAAACCCACATCACACCCCGGCAGGGACTCCCAGAGCAGCTCCCCAGCTCGGGACCGCATCCTCAAGTTTCCATATTTGCCGTTAACCCGAGGCAGACTGCAACAGCTACAGTCTTAAAATCCCAGAACGGTTTAGGACCTTTTAAAGCTCATCTCATTCCAACCCCCTGCCATGGGGGCCACTGGACTGGGTTGCTTCAAGCCCTCTCCAACCTGGCCTTGAACACTTCCAGGGACAGGGCAGCCACAGCTTCTCTGTACAACCTGTGCCAGGGCCTCAGCATTCCCATGGTAAAGTAACTCCTTTCCCATATCTAACCAAAACTGATGCATGTTCAGTTTAAAACCATCACCCCGTGTCCTGTCTCAACAGTTCCAAGGGGTCCCACTAGACTGGAGTCTGATCACAAAGCCATTTCTCTCCACTCCAGCTGGGAGCTCGCCACAGGACACTAAAGGAAATGGTGCCTGGCCTGGGCAGAACCCCAAATCCACTTGCAGAGCACCTTCCAGAGACAGCAATCTGCACAAACACACGCTGTACACCTTCATTTCCCCAGAAGATGTTATGCAGTGCAAGATGTGTGTAAGCAGCTGGTAACAGACCCCGCCGGGGCATTCCCAGAAGCATCTCCCCAGGAGACAGAGATCAACCATCCCTGAACTACAGCAGTGTTCAACTGAGGACTGAATCTTTTCAGGGTCAGAATTAGTCAGTGTTATCAA